CGGGAGCGGCCACTGCACTCCAGTCTGGGCGACAGAGTGAGACTCCAACTCAAAAAAAAAACAAAAACAAAAAAAGAAACAGGAAGAAGGCCAGTGAGGCTGCAATGGTGGCAAGGAACAGTTGTAGGAGGTGAAGTCAGTGTTGTGGTGGGGGGGATATATCATGGAGGGTCTTGTAGGGCAGCACCAGGACTTTGGATTTTATTCTGGGAGAGAAGGAAAGCGATTCAAGAGTTTTGAGCATAGTAGTAACATGATTTGATTAAGGGTTTAAAGTGATCATCCTGCCTTCGGTGTGAAGATTCTGTGTGAGACCAGTTTGGAGACCACTATAATAATTTAGGAGAGTGGTGATGGTGGCTTGGACCAAGGTGGTAGCAATGGAGATGGTAAAAATGGTTGAATTGTGGACACGTTTTCTGGAGTGGACAGGATTTGCTGATGGATTGGACATAACGGTGAGTAGCAGGGGTGAATGCCCAATGGAACTGACTTCAAGACAGGATGAAAAGAACAAAGACAAGGAATATAGTGTTTTTCTGAAGCAGGGAACTCATCTTAGAAAATCTCTTTAAAAGGACTGGCTCATGCTGGTAATCCCAGCGCTTTGAGCGGCTGAGGCAGGAGGACTGCTTGAGGTCAACAGTTCGAGAAAATCCCTTAAAAGACTTCTGCTTCAAGCCGAGCTCGGTGGCTCAGCCTGTAATCCCGCGCCTTTGGGAGGCTGAGGTGAGTGGATTGCCTGAGCCCGCGGGTTCAAGACCTCATCTCTACAATAAATCAAAAAATTAGCCGGGCGTGGTAGCACGCACCTGTAGTTCCAGCTACTTGGAAAGCTGAGGCGGAAGGATCGCCGGAGCCCAGCAGGTTGAGGCTGCGTTGGCCATGAGCGGCCACTGCACTCCAGTCTGGGTGACAGAGTGAGACTCCAACTCAAAAAATAAAAATAAAAAAAAGACTTCAGCTTCAGAGATGCCCTCACCCTTGGCTCAGCTAGAGGTTTAGGGCAAGTTCCCTCAGATATGAGATTTTATTGGTGGCTTGGGGGTCACACAGCCACTCCCTGGAAGCTATTTCCTGCCCTTTTCAGTCTCACCAGGAGCAAACCCAGAACATTTGCTGGAGGGCATCTTTCTCTCTGCCTAGTATCCTGTGACATCATGGCCCATCCTGACTCCCCTTGGGCTAAGAGCCTCTCATTTCTCTCCCAAAGATTGCTGTCCAGGTCCAAATGGATCTTACATCACATCTCTTCCTCTAAGACTCCCTCAAAGTACCCCTTCAGTGACTCTCCTATAAAAGGATGACCCACATTTGAAATTGTGTTGTTGGTTGTGGGTGCAGGGGCAGAGGTCAGAGTGACAAGCAAAGTCTTAGGCTATGGCAACCTTCTATTCCGTAGTACTTGCCAGTTCCTGCTTTTTGAGCCCCACCCCTCTGTCCCATGGGTACCTAATTGTTGGATGGGAATAGATTTCTGCTTAGCTCCAAGTGATGTCATGTCACTCTTCGGCTCCCAATTGGCTATTTTCTCAGGAATGAGACCAGGGTGCGCCTCAAGACCAAGTGAGCCTATCAGAACCCTTTACAGATAGTCACTGAAAGTCCCTTCATTTCTTTCTCAGGGACTATCCTGGGGCCCATCAGAACCCCAAAATTCCTAAATCTGGAACTTTCTGGAAATCGAACTGCTCTTCTGCTTTTGTGGAATTCCCCGCCCTTTCCAGCCACACCCCTCCCACTGGCTTTTGACCTATCATCAAGCAACACACATCTGACCATTACCCCGTGACGTCATAGGAACACTCTTATTGGATTGGCTACTCCATACGGAAGCTGAAGTCAAAACTTCGGCTTTGCATATTTACTCAAAGCCTTCTTCACTCGCCCCTAAAGACAAGGCTAGCATTGATCCGGGGTCAGTGGATTAAATTCCCCAAGAGTGGAGACTTTATTGCGGGGAAATAGATCACAGGCGGAGACTAGGACGCAGGCCAAATAAGTGGCTGCGGGGACCGGAAGTCCTGCTTGCAGTTTGCCGCCTTTGAGAAAGGTTCCTCGGGCCTCCGCGACGCTGGCGCATGCACAGTGACGTCAGCGGCTCCGCGACGTCTGATTGGCTCTCCACTGTCGCACCATTGAAGTAGGAGACTTGGCTCCCGTCGCGTCCCAGTTCCTGCGTGGACACCCTAGGCCGCGCCAGCTTCGGGCTAGTGCTCCTGGCTGGGGGTTGGTGTCAGGGGCCGCAGGCCGCGGCAGCCTCCTGCGCGCTCCTCCTGCTGCAGCCGCCGTAGTGGCCGGACCCAGCGCGGCCTCCAGGGCAGCGCGAGGGCGTGGCGGTCGAGGACGAGGCGCGCGGGGTCGGGGCCGCCCGCCGCGCTGCCCAGCAGCAGGTAGTCGACGCCGGGCTGCAGGTGCAGGCAGCCGCAGGCCAGGTCGGCGTGGGGCACCCAGGCGTCCTGGTTGCCGCGGCGCACAGGCCACGCCCGCTGCTTGTACACGGCCAGGACGCGCACGGCCAGCCGCCACCACTCCGGGCCCGCCTCCTCGGACGCCAGCACCTGCGCGCTGAGAACTGTGGGGTGGGGGGCAGATGTCAGACCTGGGCGTGGTCCTGTGGGGAGGTAACCTTCCGGGCACCTCTGGGGTCCTGTAGGGTCAGTCCTGGTGAGGAAGGCTTCCAGGAGAAATCTCATCAAGAGACAAACTGAATTTTTTTTTTTTTCTGAGTCGGAGTCTCTGTCGCCCAGGCTGGAGGGCAGTGGCACGCTCACGGCTTGGCTTATCACAGCCTCAACCTCCCAAGGAGCTGGTACTACAGGCATGTGCCACTATGCCCGGCTAATTTTATTACAGAGATGAGGTGTTGCCTAGTTGCCTAGGCTGGTCTCAAATCTGTGGGCTCAGGCAGTCTCACCTCAGCCTCCCAAAGTGCTGGGATTATAGGCGTGAGACACCCTGAATCTTTAGTAGTTTGACCCCAAATTGTGAGGATGAGTCCTATTGGAGAAGACACTGTCAAGGCTGGGAGAGGGATGGGGGGCAGTTTATGGTTTGTTCCAGGGAGGGCTAGCCTAGTCATGTTGCTCAGGCTGGTCTCAAACCCCTTGGGTTTAGGCAATCTTCTCGCCTCTGCCTCCCAAAGTGCTGGGATTACAGGCAGGAGCCACCACCCCTAGCCATGTGCATAGTTTGTAAAGAAACAGGAAGAAGGCCAGTGAGGTTGTAATGGTGTGCAAGGAAGAGTTGTAGGAGGTGAAGTCAGAGGACAGAAAGAGGAGCCCAGGAACATGGGATATGGGTAGGGCTTTGGGGGTCACATAGGAGCAGCAGATACAATAAAGGTGTGGAGGGTTTCAATATGAGGTGAGACTGGAGACAAGGCAAGAAAGGCAGGTCCAGGGTGCCTAATACAGTGGTATCAGAAGGTGGTAGTAGTAGTGGCCAGGTACAGTGGCTCACACCTGAGATCCCAGCACTTTGGGAGGCTGAGGTGAGAGGATTGCCTGAGCCCACAGGTTTGAGACTAACCTGGGCAACTTGATGAGACCTCATCTCTACAATAAATCAAAAACTTAGCCAGCCATGGTGGCACACGCCTGTGGTTCCAGCTACTTGAAAGGCTGAGTGTTGTGAATGTGCCACTGCACTCCAGCTTGAGTGACAGAGTGAGACTTTGGACTCCAAGGGAAAAAAAAAGGTATTAGAAGTGGTATCCATGGGAATGAGTGGTATTGCTGGGTGAGGGGCTCTGGGATGATTTTGCAGGAGGACCAGAAGGAAGAGGTTGGTCCCTAGAACCTGAGAATTGAGGTCATACTGGTAGCGATTCAGAAACATGTACTTTCTGAGGAAGTAAGGGTGGACATTGTTGGGGGCTGGACTCTGGCTGGCAAGCTGAGTCTACAGGGCAGAAGATTCCTGTGGGAGGTGCAGAGAAATCTCATCTTCCAAGGCCTAGGACACTAGTGGCCTGATGGGGATCCTGAGGGAGTGGGAGTCTGGGGTCCTAGATGTGGAGGAAAGTAGCTGGGGCTGGTCCAGGTTTGTGGCCGGGCTGAGTGTCTAGGAGAGCTGAGTTACCTGAGCCCACAGGCCCAGGGGCAGGGGTCAGGCGTGCACTGACAGATTAGGGAACTGTGAGGTGAGTCTTTGTGGGGCTGTGAAGGGAGGCAGAGAAGGTCCGAGACAGGTAGGATAGGGCAAGAGCCCATTCCATTCACCTGGTTCCTCTCTCTCTTCCTTCCATCTCTCAGAGATGTCAAGCTGAAGGAGACCAGTGAAACAATGCAAGGCTGAGAACATGAGGGATGAGCATACACAGGAAGGTAGTGAATGCCTCCTCCCGGCCACCCCTTCCCATTTGTCTTCTGTCCCATCAATCAGGAAAGGCCCTTTAGAATCCAACACCCCTTCCCGTTTAAGATGAGAACGTGGAAGGCCAGAGGGGGTGGCTCGGAGGCCGTCACCAGAACATCTGTGCAGGCTCTGGCTGTTTTGCTCCCCAGCACTCACCATACTCCTGCTGGCAGTACCTCCGGAGGCTCATGTGGACCCTGGTGTCCGAGATATTGCAGTAGTTTTGACACTGAGGGTCTGGGGAGGGTCAGGCTGTCTGCAGCAGGCTTCTGAGGCCAGGACTACAGCGTTCTTCCCTGCCCGTCCCTGCATCCCATCTTGATGGCCTTCTGGGGTGCCTGAAACCTTGGGACTGGGCTCGGTGGGTGACCCTTGTATCCCCACCTGGGAACTCAGTCAGCCCATACCCAGTCCCTCCTGCTGCCCAGGATCTCCATGCCAACATGTCTTACCAGAGCTGTAAGCACCAGGGGTAGTAGTGAGGGTGGCAGTTGTCTCTGGGATTCCTGTACGACCAAAGGAGAAATGTGTCCTTTTAGTCATCACTCCTGGCCCCTCTAGGAATCCAGGCACCCAGACTCAAAGTGTTTATTCTTTTAAGACCCAAGAGTACAAGCGTCTCTTACTTTATTCTCCGATGACCCAGGAGTCTTGTTCCCTAGCCCTCTCTTCCCTTGGACCCCAGAGTCTGGACCCCTGTTCCTATTTCCCCCAGAACCAGGCCTTCAGGCTTTCAACCCCTTTTTTTCCAAGAGTCTGGAGTTCAGTCTCTGCCTACATGAGGACCCAGCCTCCAGCCTCTGGCTCCCATCTCCCAGGCCCTAGTCCTTGCTGCGCTTGCCCTCTAGACTTTCTAGACTTGGGATGTCTCCTTCCCACCCCACTCAGGACTTGTGGCCCTGGCCCTCAGGACTCACGTTGGCAGGGCATACTGGGGGAGCGGCTCTGCTGGTAGCCAGGACCACAGCGGTTGCATGTCAGGCCTGTGACCCCTAACTTGCAGGAGCACTGCCCGCTGGTCTGGTTGCAGGTACCTCCTGTTGCCCCAATAGGGTGGCACTGGCAGGCTGTATGAGGACAGGAGCTGCACATGGGATATCTGGGTCCCAGATGTACCCTCCAATTTCACAGCCACCTCCCACTCAGACCTAGGAGTCCAGGCCCCCAAACCCCTCTTCATTCAGACCCAGAAGTCCAGGCCTCCACCCTTCCTCCCCCAGGCCCAGGAGTCGGGGTCCTCAGCCCCTCCCATAGATCCAGAAGTCTGATTCTGCCTCCTTCCCCCTAGGCCTGGCTTCAGGTCACACTCACCCCTGCAGGCCTTGCGACTGGTGATCGGCTGGCTGGGGTCCCTCCAGAACCCCGGCTGGCAGTAGTGGCAGTGCCGCCCGGCTGTGTGATGGCGGCACCGCTCACAAACACCCCCGCTCCGGCCGCCCGACAACCTGAACAACTCAGAGTTGAACCGGCAGCGTCGGGCGTGCTGGTTGCAGGAGCAGGCTAGGAGCAAGATGGGGCAGGGTATGTCAGGGCCAGGCTTGCTGTCTCCCAGTCCCCAGCTTTCTGTCCTGCCACTCATGAAAGGAAACAGTGAGTTTTAACATAAAAGAGGCTGCCTAGGGCTCCCTGGGTAAGCCTGGGCCCTGGAACGTCTTCATTCCCATCTTTAAAATGGGTCCATTGGGCTGGGCTGGGTAAGCCCAGGGGACTTGCGAGTCTCCTGAATGTCTCTGAAACTGGGGGCCTAAAGAAGAGGAGGGAGTGGACTGTGGAGTCAGACCATCTATGTCTACCTCTAATGTGTTCCTTGGGCAAGTGACTTCTCCCCTCCGTGGCTCGGTTTATTTGGCTGAAAAATGACATGATGTTTACTTCACAAGGCTTATGTGAGATAAAAGACTTAACTCAGGGTCTGGCACAGAGCAAGTACTTGGCCATCCAGCTCCCACATGCCAGGTGCCCTGTGCTAAGTGCTTACCATAGTTCATCCTCACAAGAGCTCCATGAGGCTGGTACTGCCATCATTTCCATTTTACAGAGGGAGAAACTGAGGCACAGAGAGGGGAAATCACCTGCCCAAGGTAACAGCTACCAGGTGGTGGGAGGCAGGATTTGATCCCAGGCTTTCTGACTCCTGAGACTGCTTTTCACACCTGTATTCTAGTAATTCTCGCATAGCTCCCATGAGGATTATTTAGCACATGTGTTCTCCTGGATGCATTTATCAGGTTTCCTAAGGCAGTGGCTCCCAACCCTTACTACTCATCAGAAATTACTAGGGAAATTGGTTTTTATTGTTTTTGTTTGAGTCAGGACCTCACTCTGTTGCCTAGGCTGGAGTGCAGTGGCACAATCATGGCTCACTGCAACTTCGACCTCCTGGACTCAAGTGATTTTTCTGCCTTAGCCTCCCAAGTAGCTGGGACTACAAGGCATGCCTGGCCAATTTAAAAAATTTTTTGAGCCGGGCTTGGTGGCTCAGCCTGTAATCCCGCGCCTTTGGGAGGCTGAGGTGAGTGAATTGCCTGAGCCCGCGGGTTCGA